TCACTCTTATTATGTCTTTGGCTCAACAAATCCTAGAATTTGTTTCAGAATTAATCTCAGACTGATATTACATGTCTGAAGGCTGTTATAAGCAGTTCTTGTGCTTTCATAGCCTCAGTATACTCAGAAGCTTTAGAACTTCAAGGCCTGGAGATAATTTTCTCCCCTTTCCCTGTCAGCGTTTCTGGATGCATCCCAAGGATTCTGATACATTCAGTGTGGGAGTACACCACCCCCAGTTAAGAGGACTGCTCTGAGCAGTTCAGTTCTTCCAAATTATATCTAGGCCCTTAACTTTTCTATTTGATTCATCTGAAAAATGATTCCAAACTACCTTAGGCATTGTTTATTGAAATAGATCCCAGAAGCGCTTTATTCCTGACATATTTCTAGTTCCACAATTTCTGTAGTATAGCTTTTGACCCAAGGGTTTGATTACTTCTCAACTCACTCTGCTTAAAAGGATTAAATCACTTGCAGCATATACTCTTCTTGTTTGCAAAGTTGACTTTTCACATGAATAATTTTTCATCTCATGAAATTGTTCCTATTTCAAAGACTATGAAATTCTACTTGATAGACATGAAGTGAGTTTCCTAAAGAAGTTCCTATTGAATAACGCCAAATCAGCTATCTAAATGGGATCATTGTCATAGCTTATGAACATCTTGCCGCCCCTGCTTCTGTATAAAATGCAACAATATGGAGAATAGCCAATAGTGGGAGGCTGGTTTGCTACTATAAACTTTCTCTCCTTTTGCCTTTCTTACAGTTTCTAGTTATACCTGCTGGGCTTTGACCATCATGTACCATTCCATAATATTTCCAAACTTATCTTTGGGCCCTTGAGAAAATGAGTGAATTTGTTTGATCACTCAGCATTGGTAATGTGACAGTCACTTAGTAAACTTGGAAGCAGTAGAAAAAAGAAACTTGAAAATACGTAATGCTGTTTTTAGGCCTGTTGTGGTGGCACACACCTTTAATCCATGTACTCAGGAGGCAGAGGCAGCAAGTTTGTGGCCAGTGCAGGCTAGATAGTGAGTTCAAAGCCAACCTGAACTACATAGCAAGACCCCACACCCACCCCCCCGAAAAAAAAAAAAAAGCTTCACCTGTATAAAGTAAGTTGTACTTTCACTGTACAGTGTTTGTCTAACCTGGAGACATTTATTTGCTTTTTCTCCAGCACTTTGTTAGCGAACGTAAATATGATGAGGATCTGGGACGAGTAGCTCGGTTTACCTGTGATGTGGAGACTCTGAAGAAGAGCATTGATTCCTTTGGACAAGGTGAGGTGGTGAGAGGTTCTGGGCCATGCAGCCATCCACTGTTAATGAGCGACTGATGTGCCTCTCCTCTGAGCTCCTCAGTGCCTCTTGTCTGTTTTTATGAAAAGCAACTCTGAGTGTACTTTAAACTCTGAGGATATTTACCAAGCTCCTTTTCGTATAAAATTCTCTTTTTCTACTATTCTCTGCTGAGTTGAGTGGTTATGATATATAGTTTAAAGAACATGGGACTCTGGAATCAGACCAAGTTTGAATCCTTCCTGGACACTGATATCTTGGAACCTCACTTTACTCTCTTTAAATGGAGATAAGAGATAATACTTACCTTGCCTGGCACATAATAGTCCTTTTTTTTGTATGTGCATGTGCGTTTGTGTGTCTGTGTCTTTGCCCCATGTATGTGTTTGTGTATTTGTGATACTGAGGATTGAACTCCAGGCCTTCACAGTGAGCTATATCCCCAGTCCTTTTTTAACTTTTAATTTTGAGAAAGAGACTTGCTAAGTTACCCAGGCTGGGTTTGAACTTGTAATCTTCCGGCTTTAGCCTACCAGACTGCTGAGATTATAGGCATGTACCACTGCATCTGGCTGGTGGGCTTTTAAATAATAGCATTAAAGATGGGGGAGGGTGTGGTGTCTCAGAGTGAGAATTTGTGGTCAACCATGCTCTGAGCTCAGCTCCACTGTTCTATCTCATGTAAAAGTGAAATGTTGGACCAGGGGCTATGTAGCTCAGAGCATAGGCCTACATATGTGAAGCCCTGGTTAGATACCCACACTACAAAAAATAAAATAAAGTAAAATTTAAGTGAAATGTTAGCCTTAGGACCCTGATTGTAAACTCATCATTAGTCCAGGCTTGAAGCCAACAAAAAAGTCTGGGGAGTAGTTTTAAACCACTGAATTCTGACATTTGAATTGAAAATATTAGTATTTTTCAGTTAGATTGATATTTTGGGTTTAGGGTTATTTTTGCAGAAAGAAATTTGGCAAGATACACATTTG